TGGGCGTCGGTTTCTTTCAGTTAAAATCATGAGAAGTGTCGATTTCTTCAGTTAACAAGATGACAAGTGTTGATTTCTTCAGTTAACAACATGACAGCTGTCGATTTCTTCAGTTAACAACATCATAACAAATGTCGATTTCTTCAGAAGATGATGCAGTCTGGTTCCTGACAAGGAGGGAGATGTGTAAGTAATATAATTGGCATCGTTCTGCCACCAGGGTCACAATATTTTGTACTGAATGACCAAAATACTAACCATTGCACACACGTTATGAACATGAAAAAGGCCTCACACCGTACATGCTCATCACAGCAATTTAATTCTGAGCAAACATCACAAGCCGACAGGCTATATGTGCGTCTGCCAGCCTAGGCAGTGTTTCTGCTTCTTCCTTAGCTTGGCTTCAGATCTTCCGCGGACTGGTTGCAACTCAATCCATCACCCTCCTTGACAGCGATTCTGAAATGTTTTCAAGTCGGTTAACCTGACAAGAACATGTTAGCTAGCTTGCCGAGTTGCAGTCCACTGGGGCCTATTTACCTCGCATGAATGAACGCTCTCCGGTGTTTTATGTACACCTGTTGCTGAGGTCGCCGAGCAGATGTATAGAAGTCCTTGCATGCTGTTCTTGGCGGGAACCGTGAGTACCACATTGCGTTTGCCGTTTGGTGCCCTGAACTTTTCAATGGGATCTATCACACCTGCAAAATTTGACCAGCCATTCCATTAGCTTGTTACACATGATGCCCCTCTACTCACAGTAAACATGCACAATCTCCTCCTTACCTTTGCAGTGCCAGTTTTGGCCTTTGGGTAATAAAAGGCTTTCAGCTGCAACTTCATGTATTTGGGGCTCGACGAAATGATAATCTTGGTCGTTAGTTTGTCACTATGACCTGAGCGGAGGAGTTGCTTGCTAGTTAGTACAAAAAGCATCATCTCTCAATGCGATTAAGATGAAGCATATCTGAATATTCAGGCCTGACCTTGATACTTTTCTTGGACAGTACTGCAGCCGCAGCATGGGTCACCTTCAAAAAATCTTCTTCAACAACAACTTCATCTGTGCGACTAGCGTGTACTTAAGATGGATCTGGTACACTGCATCAGAGGAAGAATAGAATGAGGGGCAAAGTATCAAGGATGTCACAAGGAACAGTTGAAAGCCAAAACTGCATCCACCGAACAGCACCATTATTGCGTGGATGTTGCAGCGGCAGAAGACTGCCTCAGTCAACCACACCTTCCCCCAATTGAATCTGTTGCTTCCGAGGAGATTGGTCTACAAAACGAAGCAGCATCGTAACTGAAACTAGCTATCAGCAGTACATGCAAGTCTGTCTGAATTAGGTTAAAGATCAATCAGAGTAAATCCCCAGCATAATCGATATCGTAATTCACTGTTGACTGATCAGAACGAATTGCATTACTCTGTATTGGATGGTGATGGGGATATAAAAAGGAGTAATCACAGGATCCGGAAGACGGAACAAAGCAGTGCTCAGAAAATGGAGGCCTTCTGAAGTCTTACAGTATCATTGATTCTGGTAGTCTGGTTGGGGAGCATAAAAAGTATACCGACGGTGTTTACTAGAGTGACGAGAGAAGATGACAAACTTAACACAGGCTATTGTTATCTTTCAAGCAACCAAAGAAAGAATCTCAGTTGAGTCTGAAACTTTGGAACCATGTATCAATCAAATTCCTATATTCTCATGGAAATAACACCGAACCATTACGCAACTACCTTCCAGCAAAGGGAGAACATACCTTTCCCAGTGATAGGCTGATAGCCCAATACTGGAACAGAGCAAGTTGCATACAACAGACAGTACTATTCTCAAACTTTGGCCGCTCCAGTGTTCAGAGCCGCTGGATGTGCGACCAAGGGTGGTGGCCTGTTGTAACTCCGAGCGAAGCTGTAAGTTGCTGTTAGATGAAGATCTGACGGTCGACGTTGAGCCCTTCCGATTTGGCGCCAATCGACTGCTGGGTGTCGATTTCTTCAGTTAACAGCATGACAAGTGTCGATTTCTTCAGTTAACAGCATGGCAAGTGTCGATTTCTTCAGTCTGGTTCCTGACAAGTAGGGAGATGTGTAAGTAAATGGCATGCTTCTGCCGGTCAGGGTTCATAATATTTTGTACTACACGGTATGAACGTGAATAAGGCCTCACTGGATGTACCTACTCATCGCAGAAATTTCTGAGTGACATGGCAAGGCTGACAGGCTTCAGATGTACCACCACCTAGCTGCAGGCTATGCTTCTGCTATCCTAGACAGTGTTTCCTCTGCGTCTTCCTTAGCGTGGCTCCGCGGAGTGGTTGCAAGTAAATTCGTCACCTCCTCGGCAGCCGGTTCTGAAATGTTTTCAAGTCGGTTAAATTGATAAGAACATGTACTCCCTCCGTTCCAAAATAGATGATCCAACTTTGTACTAAAGTTAGTACAAAGTTGGATCATCTATTTTGGAACGGAGGGAGTAGCTATCTTGCAGAGTTGCACTTCAGTGGAGCCTATTTACCTCGATCGCATGAATGAACATCCGCAGTTCCTTGCGTGCCGTTCTTGGCAGGAGCCATGAGTAGGGGTGTTCCTTTCGGTGCCCCGAACTGTTCTTTGAGCGGCATCTATACCTTCTCCATTGCAGTCACACCTGCAAACATCGACCAGTGATTCCATTAGCTGGTTATACATAATGTCCCTCTTACTCAGAGTAGACAGGCATCCATAATCTCCTTCTTACCTTTGCAATACCAGTTTGAGGTCTGTTGGCTGCATCTTCCTGGAGCAATGAAGCACATTTCTGACTGAAATAGATAAAAGACCATGAAAAGAAGCTTAAATTTGCATAGTAAAAGAGAGTTGTTTTGGTTAGAGTGTGATACAAGAGAGCAAAGAGTTCTTTGCAGAATTAGAGAAAATACTTTAGAGGGGGAGTCCATCTGAAGACCAACTAGGGACCAATTCGAAGCTGCAGTTGCCCATGTTGTATCACTTCAAATGCATAAATGATTCCCGAGACCGCACTGCAACTTTCACCAAGATAATAGATTGATAAGATCTGCAAATCATACTGTGTTGGCTTCGATCTTTCAGTAGTAAGCTCGATTAGTTCTACTAAAATAACTATAGTGATTACTTATGACGGGGCTTAGTTTGCAGAAGTGTTCTTTTTTTCCTTTTCAGAATAACATAATGGGAATAAGGTCCTGATAAACGGGGCTTGAACTGGCTGGATGATTTTGGCCTCTCAAGAGCAGGTTTGTAGCCTATTTTGGTGCCTTAAGATGAAATGGATTCTATCAGCAGTACTACATTTTTTTACAGTGAGCAGTACTAAACGTTCAGAACACACTGCTGATGTTGAGCAATTGAAGGATTTCGAGATATAACTCCAGCTCACTTATAATAGCTAGTTAGAGCTGAAAAACAGAGTGTTCATGTAGGAAATAATAAGCATGCACCATTGCGTTGTACATTCTACTACCTCCGTCATGGTGCTACAAATTTAAGTCTCAGACAATTCAAAACTGCAAGTTCAAAGAGTAGACAGAGACAAATTATGGTCAATTCATAAACTTACTGTGCAGCTCTGCCAGTCTGTTGGTGATGAGTAGTGCTTCGAAAGGGGAGATCTTCTGAACTCATAGAAGTAAGAAGACAATGTCCTGGGCTGGGGGACAAAGCATTCTTTTGAGATGAATACATCCATTTTTCATGACTGTTTACTATACTGACTTAGTGAGGAAAGAAAATTAAAAATTAATAAAGGTAATTTACATATTAATTTTATACCGAGGCGCGATAGAACAACATAGTAAACTAGTGTTAATCATGAATATGTTGCGATCATGCATCTTTGTGCCTTAATGGGGTTTTGCAATTTCAAAATTGTAAATGCCGTGCAATGCATTACCTCCACTGTAACACTTGCACAAATTCACCTCCAAACTGCTACTACTCCCCATGATCTGAATTGGCTTCACACGTGCACTGCTATGGTATACAGGCTATTCTTGCGAAGATCCTATATGCCAATAAATATCATTAAACAACAACAGTTGTACCGAATACGAGAATACGAGGTATCAGTAGAATGTCAACTGAATTGAAAAACTTCAAACCTTATCAGTAGCAAAACACTGACAACTCATGGTTTCCCATAATTATGCCAAGATGATCCTTTAATCCCTAAAACTGAACATTTTCCAGGTACACCTTCAGTCTTGATGAGTTTTTGGACAAAATGTAAACGCCTGAACAACAAGCCAACAGAAATTAGAAATGCAAGAACACCCTGTACCGATCGCAACATAGCAGTATATGGAAAAAAATATGTCACCTTAATATCAGTAGACTGACCCGAAGTCTCATTTATTCCATACTGATGTCGTACTGCTATCTTGATCGTGACACTCAAAATAGGAAAGTAGACTGACACATCTTAATGAAGGGATGACAATAACCCAAATTAAGTGCAAATAGGAAGAAACCCGTTACATTGAAAAAACACCTGCACAAAGAACCAAACAAATGTTTATCACAGGTTTCTAGGAAGAAAAGAAGAGAGACTTCAGAAGGCATTGGCTGATATTGATGTTGGTTTTTTCATTTGTTGAAAGACCAAATCTTAAATACTTTCACTCCCATTGGGAAGAAAATGGAAATCTAACATAACAGGAGCATAAGTGGATATTTTTTTTTGCAGCGAGTATAAGTGGAAGTGGATATAATTGATATGATACAGCATGAGTAAAGTTCCAATTTAGATGTGCTTACCAGATTTATGTACAGGAAGGAAGACAGCGGCCACAAGACCCTCATGTCACTGCATGAGGCAAGAGTGTCGTATGGAAAGAGCAGAACACTACAAGGCTAGAAGAATATACATGGAAACTCCAAGGCACGGCCCTGCACAGTGGATGGGAACAAACAAAGTGTTTTAAGCATGATTGCAGGAAAAGCGCAAAGTGGAATTTTGTGTTACCTTGGATCAGTGTATTATGAGTTCTGGGATGGTTCCCTCTAACCCCCTGCAGTGCCGTTTTAGCTCCTCGTTGCACCCGTATATAATAACTAGCTTTTGAAGTGATTCAGGGAGGACATCGTTGGGCAATGACGAGAGGGTTGCAGAGTGGATCGCTAATTCCTTGAGGCTGGTAAGGTTGTGCAATCCTGCTGGGAGTTGCTGAAGATTGTGAAATTGCCAAAACTCTAGTTCCTGGAGGGAGGAGAGGAGCTGAAGGGCGTCCTCTTGCTCCTTGCTGAAGCGCTCTATCCCTTCAGACCAGTCCCCACAAAGTTTCAGCTTGGTAAGGGAGGACGAGAGGAAGCTGCAGATGGGTGCAGAAAGAAATCCTGCTGCGTCATCCGTCATGAGCTCATGCAGTGTGGATGAAACAAAATGTGTCTGCTGCTCTCCTCCTCCTTCAACGTCCTCCCAACCAGAAAAGAATTTAGGGCTGAAAGAGAGTCTTAATTCTTTGAGCTGGCCCCCGGTGCTAAGGAGAGGCTGCAAGCCCCGACATGTCAGACCCTCTCCACAATTCAACAGTTTTAATGTGACAAGAGAGGAGAGGTTTGAGAGGGGCTCCAGTGTCATCAAGCCCTTCACATCCATAAGCTCCAGGAATTGCAGGGACGAAGGAAAAATGTGATGGGAAGGCACTATTTCCAATCTGGATAAAAACCTGGGCGAAGGCGCTATGCTTAATCTCTGAAGGGTTTGCAAGGCTTGGAGCCCTCCTCTTCCAGGAACAAGAGTTGGTGGCTCCACCAGGACTAGGTCTGGGCAGTCATCGAACTCAAACTCCAGTAGTGAGTCACAGAGATGAGCTGGGAAGAACAACACCCCATCATCCTCTTCCTCTGCTGCCGCTGTTATTTCACCTCGCGCCCATCTCTGATGCTTCTGATGCTGTTTGTTGCACACCCACCCCCACTACCAGCTTTTTTATGTTTTCACAATCACTTATTTTCAATTTGGAGAGCCCCGGGAGGTGGGGGAGTAGCTCGGTCAAATCCTTGCCAATAATACCATTTATGTTGTAGATCTCGATATGCTCAATAGGAAGCTGCCATTCCACATCACCCTGACCTACTAGTGGTCCAACCAGACCATCTGAAAGGTGTACAATCAATGTCTTCAGCGATTTTAGCTTCAGAAGGTGCTTCAACTCCAGCGGTGGGCACCTCAGCAGTGTCAGCTTCTCAAGACATGTTTCTTTATCGAAAACTAACAATTGGTCTAAGCTATGCAGATCACCCCGTCCAACGATTTCCAATTCTGCTCTACCAGATGATTTTGAGTACACAAACTCCTGTAGTAACTTTACATTTTTTATCGTGGCACGACGCAGACTGTTAATCCAGGAGATGGGAATCACCCATGAGAATTCTGGACAGCCTTGTATCTCAAGCTCTTGTAGTTTGGGGAACCAATCTGGGGAAACAATGTGGTTTGAGAAAGGGAACCTCAAGAGCTTCGGCCAATCTCTAATAATTAGCACTTGCAAAAGAGGGAACATATGAGCATCCTGTAGTGAGTCGGAGAGATAAGCTGGAAAGAGCAGTGTCCCATCATCATCTTCCCCTTCTGCTGCTGTTACTTCATCTTCCTCCATCTCCATTGGTTGCTGATACCGCCGCGAAAACATCATTTCCCTTCTTCGATAACGAATTATTTCCAGTTTGGAGAGCATTGGGAGGTGGGGGAGGAGCTCCGTCAATTCCTTTCCACTAATACCTTTTAACCACTCGATCCTCATATACTCAACAGGGAGATGGCATTTCCCATTACTCTGACCTCTTAGTGGTCCAACCAGACTAACTGAACATTTTACAATCAATTTCTTCAACGAGCTTAACATCATAAGGTGCTTTAACTCTAGAGGTGGGCACCCCTGGAGTGTCAGTTTCTCAAGACTTGTTTTTTCATCGAAAACTAACACTTGGTCTAAGCTATGCAGATCACCCTTTCCAATAATTTCCAATTCTGCTCCATCAGATGATTTTGTGTACTCAAATTTTTCTAGTAGCTTGACACCTTTGATCGTGACACGACGCAGACTTTCAATCCGGGATATTGGAATCACGAATGAGAATTCTGGACAGTACCGTATCTCAAGCTCTTGTAGTTTGGGAAACCAATCTAGGTAAAGAATGTTGTTTGAAACCGGAAACTCGATTTTCGGGCAGTTTTTGATAATCAGCACTTGCAAAGCAGGAAAGATATGAGCATCCCTTGGCAACACGTCTCCACCTAGGGAAGACTCTGGTTTACTTGTGTAAAGCCATTTTTCAAAACTTGCTAGGCCAATGAGTTCAAGCTTTATTAGCATGAAAAAGCTTTTCCCTATAATAAGCTCCTTCAGTCTTGCCATATCCTTCAACCTTAGTTCACGAAGATCCCACACATCACCTAGCCATGTTGGACAAGAAGGGCCTCCATGCCCTCTAATGCACAGTACTTGAAGATTTCCATGTGGTTTAAGGCTCTCAAGAACCACTGCTTCCACACCAGGCTCAATGCTAGATTGCTCACTATCCCAGTCCAATTTTAACCTCCTCAAGCACTTTTTCTCAACCAGCTTTGCTTGAGCTGCCTCCTCTTTTGTATGTATTTTCTCAAGGTTGTAGATGCCAAGCTCCCATAGCTTGGTCAAATGCTCAAGCTGCTTTGGTTCAAATCCTTCATTCTTTTTATTGACACGAAATACCATTAACTTTTCTAAGAGTTTAAGTTTTCCCACATTATAAATATCAAACTGAAGCCCATCATCCCTTGGGGGATAATAGTGGCACAATTTTGCAAGGTTGCACATGTCTTCGGGGAAATCACCACTGCCACCCCACCTCTCAAGATCTAGAACCCTTAAATGATAAAATTTAGAGATGTTAGGTGGTAACTGCATCTGTCTCATCCGTGTTCCTAGACATAGGCATCGTAGGTGGACAAGTCTTGAAAAGGTATGTAACACAGACTCCATGGGGCACATCAGGTGGGGAAAATAAAGAACACGAAGAGCATTTGCTTCCCCAAAAAAATCACCATGTATCTTGGCAAAACCTTCATCCATTTCCCCAAATAACATCAGTGTTTGCAAATGTTCAACCTTCACTGTTGTCTTCAGTTTTTCCAATTTAGTCTTTAATTTTTCACCAGACACTGCATCATATTTATCCAAGTCCTCTGTGCTAATAGACAAGTGTCGGGTTGTTGGCTAAATTTTTACTGATCCAACATCAGGGAAACGTAAACTAAGGCAATCATGAGATGCAACCTTCAATGCCAAATCATGCAGCAGGTCATGCATAACATAACACCGATCACCATCAACTTGCTCTTCTCTGAAAAATCCATGGATGACTAACTCCTGTAAATTTCTGAAACCTATGTCTTCAAGTGTTTGATTTTGACCATCAAGTATCAAAATATCTAGTCCAATCCACAGGCTGATGAGCTCACGGCTTCTGAAAGGGTAATCTTCAGGAAACAATGCAGAATAGGAAAAACATTGTTGCAGGTGGAAAGGGAGAAAGTCATAGCTAAGCTCCAAAGCAGGCATAATCCAATTGCCATTGGTCTGCTTCACCCATTCTTTACTTTCTAGGACCCTTTTCCAATGAGCCAAACAAGGGTCTGTCCTCAGTAATCTACCAACGGTCTTTGCTGCAAGAGGGGAGCACCTTAGTTTTTCTGTTATCTTATCTCCAGTCTCACGCAAATGAAGTTTTTCACTGGGATATTGCTCTGCATCAAAGACATAAACAAGGAATAACTTCCTAAACTCTTCAGGTTCTAAACCACTCAGTTCTTTTGGCTCTACAGTTTTCTTAACTTGATCTGCTATCTCTTTCTGCCGAGTTGTGACTAGAACCATGGAGCCCTTTTCTTGTGACTTGCCGAGTATCAATAATAGTTTTTCCCAGTCATCCACATTAGTAAACTGCCATATATCATCCAATACAAGTATGAACCTCTTGGATTTCAATCTGTGTTCAATCAGCTCTTCTGGTCTCATACACCCATTTTCACCTTCAGCCGCAAGGGTATATTCTTTAATCTGTTCTAGCACCTTACCCAGGTTGAAATTAAACGACACACATATCCAAATCCTGACCGGAAAATGATTCCGCACTTGCTGGTTGTTATATATGTGTTGTATCAGAGTTGTCTTCCCAATTCCCCCCGGACCAATAACTGGAAGCACAGTTAGAGCCTTGTCACTGTATTGCCCCTCCGTGATATCATCTATGATACTCTTCATGACATGGTCCCTCCCATACATTTTTGGCTCTGCACTCAGAGGTGTGGTGGTGGGACGGCTCTGGGCAATGTGAAGAACACTTCTACGGTCATAACGTTGCAAAATCTTGTCAACCTCATTACGCACAGGCTGCAGTTTCTCTACAATGGCAGTCATCCTTTGAGAGAAATCAGGCCTATTAAACTCTGGTATTGGTGTTTCTGGTGCATTGTCACGATCTTCATTACCATGAACATGTGGATGCGGGGAGACCTCCTGATCAGCCTGATTGGCGTTTGGCGCAGAGGAGGAATCGCCGCGTGTTATGTGCCTAGCATGCTGCCAAGCGCAACAGCTGACATGTTGTCTTGCATCTTCTTGTTGGGGATGGCGAGCATTGGCACCAAAGCAGGACCCGGTGAAAGATGCCAGCCGTTTGCTAATAGATTTGCGAGTGTGGCGAACATCACGGGCAAGGTGCTGGACACCACCCTCGCCGTGCTCGTCGGCAGCCTCATATGTGCCGCGGAGCTTGTCCTGGATGCGGAAGTAGTCCAGCTCGTCCAGCAAGTCTTGAGCATTGTGCGCCGAGTCCCGCATCATCTGCAACAGCTCCTCCATGGCTGGACCGCTGATCTCCTTGCAGGCAGCATTTTCGAGCGTGGCCTTGACGAGCAGCAGTTCCATCCTGAGGGCCTCAACGTTGGGACCAAACATCCTGGTGCCCTCCCAAGCCTCCTGGAAGATATCCGTGACGGTGGCTAGCGCCTTGCTCACCACCCATTGCACCACGCCGAGGGCAGCGTCGGCCATCCTCGGGCCAGAAGCAGAGATGGACGACCTGCGGCGCCTGCATCCAAGAATCAAAAGGAATTTGTTGGTAAAAATAGGCTGCTGGTAGCTGTAAACTAGTACGTACGTTGTCGCAAGCACGCCGGTGATGGGATGCTGCCTGTCTGCCTTCCTGCCGGTGACAGATGCCGCTGCCGCTGCCTAGCACCTAGTTGCTTCAAATTGGGGGTTGGGTCGCAGCACAGCAGGCCTGTTGGGAATTTTCAATCACAAAAGAAATATAATTAAGGCATCAGGCTAGAATTTTCAATCACAAGGGGAAACAGAATTTCCAATCATGAGAGAGAGAGAGAGAGAGAGAACAGAAACAGAACTCTGACCTGCTGCTGTGCGTCGGTGGCACGGTGCGTCGGAGGTCTGGCGGTGATGGATACTGCCTTCCTGCCGGTGACGGATGCCGTCGCCGGTGACGCGTACCTAGCTGCTGCAAATGGGGGTTGGGTGAGTCACACCGAGCAAGGGGAGGTACAGGAATGGAGGCACTGAAACAGAGCGCGCGTGCACACACACACACAGAGGCTACTGACCTGCTGCTGTCCGGCGGCGGGCGGTAGGGTGCGGCTGGTTCAGATCCGGGTGGGAGCCGCCATCGCCATGGTGAGAGGGCAAGATGACCGGAGTTGCGTCGACCAGGAGGAGGCGAAGTGAGCTGCGTTGCCGGACGGCGAGGCGGAGGTGAAGGACAGCAGCGGTGGGCAGTGGAGAGCAGGGGAGCGCCGGCCGTGGAGCCAGCTTGAGAGAGTGAACGAACGAGACTGAGTGAGAGTAGTACCACCTCTAGATCTAGATCTGGTAATAATTGAGAGGTTCGATCTGGATCACGAGGACTACAGTACAAGTATTTTTCCTTGACTTCACCTATCCCAAGTCTCTCTCAAACTAAACTTAGAGCATCTGCCCCACACCCAACAGGCCTCCTCAGAGCGATTTTTTTCACACCGGTGCCGAACAAAAACCCTAGTCGCGCCATCAAGACGCCAAAATCCGCCGGTTTGGCCCGTTTTTGAGCCTCGCGATCCCAGGCCGAACCCAGCAGATTTCTCACAAAGTCTCTATTGCGTTTGTCCAGAGCGCCTAAACTCTAGCTTAACTTGTCATATTTTTGTTTTGCCAAACAATGCTTTGTTTATTTATCCGAATTTTCAGACAAACACTCCCAAGCCCTGCATAGTACTCCCTCCGTTCTTAAATATTTGTCTTTCTAGACATTTAAATGGACTATAATATACAAATGTATGTAGACGCATTTTAAAATGTAGATTCACTCATTTTACTTCGTATGTAGCCACTTGTTGAAATCTCTACAAAGACAAATATTTAGGAAGGAGGGAGTACAATACGTTCGCATGGCAGTGCCAAATTATCCGATGAGAAAAGATCCCGACAACGAAAAGTCTCATAGTGGATTCCCGCAATTGCGCAGAAGGCGCGCAGCGTTGGTAGACCACCCGCGACTGACTCCTCTACAAGTTTCAATCAGTGAACCAAACAAAATGATAGCACTACCCCTACAAGTGTCAATCAGTGAACACTGTTTTTTTTTTTGCAGTGAACAGCTACCGCCGAGCTGTGAATGCTACAGTGGTAACGAACACAAAATATTTGTTTTGAACCAGAGGCAAAAGTTTTTTCTTTTTATTGATTAAGAGGAGATAGTTCCCCATTAATTAAGAAGAATATAGTGACCGGCCATCCTTTACCAAAACAAAGTGTGTTAATTTATTCAACCAGAGGCAAGAATATTTACTTTAGTCAAATTTGGAAACAAAAATCCTGTAGCGCATCAGCCTCGCAGTGCCAAAAATATCCGACGGGAAAAGTGATCCTACGGTTAAACAATAAGACTTCTTCCAATGTAAAGGTGCTTAGAGCAACTCTTAAATAATGCAATAGAGTACATAAGAGTACAAATACAAATGCAAAGGTGCTTAGAGCAACTCTTAAATAATGCAATAGAGTACATAGGAGTACAAATAGAAATGCAAAGGTGCTTAGAGCAACTCTTAAATAATGCAATAGAGTACATAGGAGTACAAATACAAATGCAAAGGTGCTTAGAGCAACTCTTAAATAATGCAACAGAGTACATAGGAGTACAAATAGAAATGCAAAGGTGCTTAGAGCAACTCTAACAGACCCTGCAAAAGGCCCCGACCCGCAAAATAACCGCCAAAATGCGGGTCGGCGTGGTAAATCCCGCCCGCACAGACCCCGCAAACATGGCCGGTGTCGTGGTACTAAGTCTGATAGTAAGAGTAGGGGGTATGTAAGAGGAGGCAAGGCCCTAGCTACGGTGAAATTGTACATACGAGTTTACGAGTTCAGACCCCTCTCAGAGGAGGTAAAAGCCCTACGAGTCGGTGCCCTGAGGCGGTCGACTGGAATATGGGTGTGTGTTACAAGGGGTGCGAATCCTTGTTCCAGAGGATGGGTGTGGCTTATATAGAGTGTGCCAGGGTCCCTTGGTCTTTTGGCCTACAGATTATATCCCATTTAGCGAGTCTGTATTTTCGTTTTAACTCATCGCTTTGTCAGAAGAAGCGCGATCGATAGAAGTCCAGTCTTTTCCCAACTCCAACTGGTATCTTAAAAGGGACAAGAGAAACATTGGCATACTCGTGAGTACCGAATTAATGAGAATTAGTCGGCCTCCATATGACATAAGCTTGCCCTTCCAGCACCATAGTTTTTTTTCAAATTGATCCTCAATGCACTTCCATTCTTTGTTGGAAAGCTTGCGATGATGAATTGGTATACCAAATACATAAAGGGCAATGGACCTAATTCACACCCGAACAATTGTTTGTAAGCTTCTTGTTCGTCTTTAGCTCTTCCAAAGCAGAACAATTCACTTTTATGGAAGTTAATCTTTAACCCCGACAACTGTTCGAAAAGGCATAACACAAGCTTCATGTTCCTTGCTTTTGTCAAATCATGCTCCATAAAGATGATAGTATCATCAGCGTACTGTAAGATGGACACTCCTCCGTCCACTAGATGCGGGACGAGCCCGCCTATCGGGCCATTATTCTTAGCTCTTCCTATTAGGATCGTCAACATGTCTACCACTATATATGTTGAATAGAATAGGTGACATCGGGTCTCCTTGCTTTCGTGGTTCTAAGTCTGACAGTAGAGTGGGGGGTAGGTATGGAGAGGCAAGGTCCTAGCTATGGAGAGGTTGTAAACACAAGAGATGTACGAGTTCAGGCCCTTCTCGGAGGAAGTAAAAGCCCTACGTCTCGGAGCCCGGAGGCGGTCGAGTGGATTATGTGTATATGAGTTACAGGGGTGCGAACCCTTCTGCCTGTGGAGGGGGGTGGCTTATATAGAGTGCGCCAGGACCCCAGCCAACCCGCGTAATGAAGGGTTTAAGGTACATTAAGTCTGGGGCGTTACTGGTAACGCCCCACATAAAGTGTCTTAACTATCATAAAGTCTACTTAATTACAGACCGTTGCAGTGCAGAGTGCTTCTTGACCTTCTGGTGGTCGATGAGTCTTCATGGTCGAGTCCTTCAAGTCAGTCGAGTGGGTTCCTCGTAGGTCGACTGGAAGGTGATCTCTTCTAAGGGTGTCCTTGGGCAGGGTACTTAGATCAGGTCTATGACCCTACCCTAGGTACATGACTCCATCATTAGCCCCCGAATGGATTGAGGCTTGAGTGAGGAAGGAGTTGATGTTGTTTCCGATTGGTCTTTGCATACTGGTCGTGCGTTGTTTTGAACCAAGAATCTCTTTGTTGATAGTGAGCAACTTTTCTTCAGTCGACTCGATCCATTCTTTTCTTTCGTCGAGTGATCTTTTGGACTTTGCCGATTTCCGAGCGACGGATCGCAGGAAATCCCACGTCTGACAGACCGATCTGCCGTTCGCGGATTCTGCGGGATACGAAATTTGGGGAAGCGCGCGAAGAGGGGCGGACCGCGGCGCTCGGATGGGATAGGGCACAGACGCCTCGATCCTCGCGCCGCTTTTTTCGCCACGTATCGCGTCCGCGCAACTGTTTCGGGATATGATTAGATCGACCGGGCCCACCTGTCATCCACTCGGAAGGGATCTTATAAATGCGCCCGGTGAGGGTTTTTGAACAGTGCCTCAGCATTCCCTCTCTGCTCTCTTCGTCTCCGCCCAACGCGCCCGCTCTCACCTCCGCACAACTTCCCCTCGCGCGTCTCGCCGGCAGTCATGGTGAAGGAGAAGACGGCGACGCTGAAACACGCAAAGAAGGCATCGGCGTCGGAGAAGGCGAAGGGGAGATCCACCAGCCGCGGCGGGTCTTCGTCCAGATCCCGTCTACCGCACGGCTGGGTCCAGGGAGATTGGATCCAGTCGACCATCACGGAGAAAGATCTCCTCGACATGGCCAACGACGGTCTGATCCCCCACGGAGCTGCAAGGCTTCCGGGGAAAGAGTGGCAGCCCCAGCCGGAAGAGGGTGAGTGCGTGCTCCTGGCCACCCATGTCGACCGCGGATTTTCTTTGCCACCGAGTGTTTTCTTCCGTGGTTTTTTGAACTTCTTTGGAGCGCAACTTCACCCCGAATTCTATCGCCTATCTTGCTGCGTTTGTGTCCATGTGTGCGAATTTTCTAGGCTGTCGACCGCACTGGGGATTGTTCAAGCACATATTCACGTGTTGCTCTCAGACCGTGAAGAAGGCGAGCCCACGCGACGAAAAGACCCAAGTTGTCCAGATGTGTGGTGGTCTGGGGATCCAGATGAGAAACAAGAGCACCTTCCCAACCATGTCATTTCCCGAGTCAGTCAGAGGCTGGCAGTCGACCTGGTTCTACTGCCAGAACGAGCCGACGCCGGGGCAGTCGAGTGGACTCCCTCAGTTTACCATGGCCCGAGTGAACAAACCTTCTTCATTGAAGGTGATTCCGGAGGAGAAAGCCGACGTGAAGATGCTGATGGAGCGTGTAGTTCAGTTGGTTCGAGATGGAGTGACTGGTATGGA